AATAGTTAAGGATGTGGGCTGTTCTAGTTTTAGGGAAATGTGAAGTTTAGCTCAGGATAGGAAAGAGTGGAGGTACGTGTCCAACCAGTCTTAGGACTGACGACCTTATGATGATGATGATGATGATGAGATACCAACCTTTCTTTCCGTTATATGCGTGCCTTTTTAATCTATCGTACAAGTCTTCTTTGGTGCCGTAAAGACTGGCGTTTGATCTCGCCAGACTGTTCATTTTCCCCCCATTCATCCCTCCGTGCAGGCTTTCTTTCATGTAAGTCTCGTTGTAGAAGTTTGGCATTTCCCACCCGTCCTCTTCGTCGTCGTAATAATGAGCGTAGGTGGAGTGATGACTTGGAGCAATGCTCTCCGCATATGGCGTCGGTGCTCCATAGTAGAAGTTTACTTGGGAGCCATTTTGGTCAGCCGCAGGACTGAGCAGTTTCTTTGGTTCTCTTCGATGAGTCGATCTGAAGTGAAGAGTGTCAAGTAAAATTTTACATAAGTTCAACGCAGTGTCAAGTTACTTGCCTGGCACAAATCATCCAAATTAGGAGGACGATGAAAATGATCAAAATCACAGCCGCTGCTATACCACCAGCGATATAAGCAAACTCAGACTTTTCGGCGCAGTGTTTACCAGTGAAGCTTCCTATACATCTACATGACGGCTGCCCTCTGACATCCTTCACGCAAACGCCCTCGTTTTCACAGTAACCGTCACAAAGATCTAAAAAAGTGCATCTATCAAAAATGCATCCAAAAAAATGATATTAGAGGATTCTTACCCAAGCAAAATTCTCCGGTACCATTGAAACCTGGTTTACATTCGCATTTGAAGTCGCTGGTTTCGGGTATGAGAAGACAGTAGGCATTTTCATCGCAGTGTATCTCTGATCCCTGCATTTCGCATGGATTAGTGCATTCCGCTTTGCTGGTCTGAAATATGAATTAGTAAATTACCATTTTGGAATCGAATCAAAACACGAAGGATGTGTACACACCGCTGCATCTCCTTTAGTGCTAGTGTTTGGTGGACAAGGAATACATGATGTCTGTTGAGAATCCGGTTGGTACCAGCCCTTTTTACACGATACGCAGCTGTTCAGAGTACCGTTTAGATATGTTCCTGGGGTACACACTGGGAGCGAGCATTCTTCAATCGTCGAGGCACCGATTTTGGGTGTGGTTCTTCCAAGTGGACAACTTTGGCATACCGGTTGAACTCCTTGCATCCTGTATGTGCCTCTTGGACAAGCTTCGCATTTACCATCCAGACCTAATTGCAATCCGCTTCCACATTCATCGCGACATTCTTTTTCGGAAACGGCTTCCGCAGTGCGAGTAGTTTTTCCAAGACCGCACAGTTTACATGTGAACGATCCTTCGTCAGGTTGGTAGAATCCATGACCGCAGCTGCGACAAAGTCCCGCCTCATGGTCGAAATATTTACCAGCTGGACAACGTTCTGCAAAAGATTTACAGTTGGAGAAGTACTTCAAAACTACTTAACATTAGTGATTAGGTACCTTTACAATCTGCTGCACTTCTTGCTCCTGGTCCAATTGTTACTCCAGATCTTCCAGCGATTATGGGGCATGGGGAACATTGTAACTGTCCAGTTTCGCTTTGGTACGTTCCCACAGCACATGGGATGCATTTGGCGGTAGTTTTGTTGAAATATGTGCCCACGGCGCATGGAACTGTAATAAAAGCAACAGTTGCTAAACTACTCTAGAGTTTGTGAGCGTTTATAAGCTTACCGCAATCAGGGGCCATCACAACTTGACCTGATGGACATGCATAGTCGGATTCAAGAAGTAATGATGCAGGATCAGGTACTGTATTGGGTAAGATTTCGTGGACATCAAACTCATCATCTTCCAGAATGAGTTTTTGCAATAGTCTTTGTACTGTGGCGCGTTCGTTGGTGTTGGAATTGATTACAGGGTCGCTTAAAGTGAAATTGTTGCAATTAAAGGAAGGTAACAATGAAAAAATGGCATTAAAAAATTATGTAGAATCTAATGCATCCAACTACAACAATAACGTGCAAAGTAAGTGCTTACTTGATGGCTGGGAAGGAAATTTCTACGTTGTAGGTATCGCTGGTTTGTTGACGTTCCTGGCGATTTATGGGAGTGGTTCTACAATGAAAATGAAAACATGCCAGAACTAATCTACACAAATCTACTTGCAGACAGCATGCAATGTAACGAACGATTAGACAACATTACAATTATCACAGATGCTTATGCTTGAGAAGATTAATATGGACTTATTTCCTAATAAAATTCAAACTATTTGTACTCAGTTTAAAATACGGTAATTATGTAGGTAACAGTTCATAAACACTCGCAAGACATACTGTTGTAAAGTCGAAGATAAAGTCTCATAATAGACTACAAGAAGACAGTTTGAGTGTATCTAATAATCAAGATTGAAGAAGATAATCTTAAGTACGTATTAGTATAATCAGTAGAGAAATACTCGAAAGAATATTTCGGCAAACCTTAATGCATAAGAGAGTGAGTAATGGATTTCCCTACGATTATCAGAGGAAAAAGGTCTGTAACTTACTTTTCCACTGGTACTTTAGCATCAATTACGTAAGTGCTCTCGTCTTCATCGTCGGTAGTTTGTCGTGTTTTTCTGGGGCTTCTGTGGTCGCACTTTACATCGATATCGAGTTCCCTGCATTCGCGAGTTCCTTCGACAGAGAACGAGCAAAAGTTCCAGTCTCTGTTAAGAGAGTTAACAGCCGTTCGCACTTTCTGACGCAAAACTCCTTGCCCGGCCTCGTTACAAAGTACAGAACTTGGGAAGAGCATGGATATTTTGAACACCCTTTGGGCTGGTTTGGATGCTATAAGGAAAAATTAACAGTCTAATATTTTAAGGAATATTGAGAGTATCTTTCGTCACTTACGTGAACAAGCAGGATAAATTAATGGAAGGTTCGGATCCATCGTTGGCCTCCAAAATCCTTCGGCTCCGCAAGTGTAGAATTTGGGAACGTCTTGTGAGAAACGTAATCCTGGGTTGCAACCGATTTCACATACTTTAAATTGCCCTCCGGCACCCCAATCTTTACAACTCTGGACTCCTCCAACAGGATCGTCCAATTCTGGGCAAAATTCGGCTAAAATGATTCAGAATTGAAAGTAATTACTATTAAGGAAACTACGCCGATAACTATCTTACATAGAACGGACACCTTAAATGTGCATGTAGCTGTATTTCCAGCTGCATCTTTGGCAACATATGCGATTTGGTAGATTCCCCATAAGAGAGTTTGTCCTGGTCTGTGATTACTCTTCTCCTGGACTTTGACAACACCGATGTTGTCGCTGAAGTGCGGTTCGTCCCAATGAACTATCGCAGAACCATTCTTAGCAATGATCCACAGATCGCCTGGGCAGTATTCTACCTTTGGTGGGATCTACGATGAAACAAATGAATTGTAAAGCAGCGTTACGATGTTGAATTGAAGTAAATAATAATACCTTGTCTACCACTAAATCTTGGCATTTGCTTCCGGTATATCCAAGAGGACAATTTCTTTGACCACATTGAGACGGTACAATTCGTTCAACTCCACCAGTGGTGTCTTCGTAACCTGCCCAGTTGAGCACCAGTCCGTTGTATAAAACGGGTTCTGTTCTGCAGTCTCTTACTTGTTTTTGTATCTCATTGGTAACATCCAAAGCGCGACTCCAAATCTGTACTTTTGTTAAATGTCCTTGGAATCCAGATTCTGTGTAGGATTTGGGAGTAATAGTTCTCGGTTTTCCCAATGTGACCCAAGCACTAAAAAGATGACGTGTGTTAAAATTATGATTAGATGTTTTGTACTGCTTTATCCTACTATTCAGGTAGTTTTCTTCCGCTTCCATATCCGTCTACTTTACTGGCGATAAGACCTTCCGTTATGAGTTTCAATTCTCCACCATTTTCTCCATCCCAAACGACTGCTATGTGATGCCATTGGGCATCATTTATGGTGGTGTAATCTCTGTAACTGAGGTAGACGTCTTGCAACTCAGTGAACAATGAAACCTGAACTCCGTTGGAATGGATTTGAATGAGGACTCTCCTGTCGATTGTCAGATGTTTGTTGCTAAAAGGCAAAAGTCAAAAGACGAATCTTCTACGCATGGATTAATGGCCTAACTTACGAAACGCTATAGAGTGTAAAGAATATTCCGTTCTCATCCTTCTGCGTGAATCTCACCCACATTGCAATTGTGAGGCTGCTCTTCGAACCGGTATAGAATGGTATTACCTGTGCTGCAGAACTTCTTGTCGCATCGCTGAAGTAAAGATCGTAGTCAACCGAAATTGCTATGAAAGACAAACATAGTTAATAAAACAATCATTTAACTGTGCAAGAGTTCTCACATTTCCTGCAATCTTCTCCTGTCAAATTGAAAGGACATTGGCAGTAGAACCTTCCGATTAAATCCACACAAGTGGCGCTTGGCGGGCAGGAATTCTCTTTGCAGTCGATAATATCTTTTTCGCAATATTTCCCTGTAAATCCCGCGGGGCATATACATTTGAATCCTGCCCCATGGTCGGTGCATGTTGCGCCATTTTGACAAGCTCCAGCAGAACATGCGTCATATTCGTACTGACATCCTACGCCGGTGAAGTCATTTGAACAAGAACAATTAAGTCCTGATCCGAAATCTTGGCATTTTCCGCCATGCATGCAAGGATTCCCGATACAACGCTGAGGTGCTGTTTCACATTGTTTACCATCAGTTCCAGAGGGACAACTAAAGAAGGAGAAAACTAAATAAGAAATGGTCTTATTGTTTTACATGAACGGTAACTTACACGCAGAAGTAGTCTTGGAAGAGATTGATACATTTAGCATCATTTTGACAAGGTCTTAGTTGGCATGTGCCAATATCTTGTTCGCAGTTGGCCCCAGTCCATCCTGGATTACATACGCAACGATAAGCGCCCACTTCATCGCGACATGTTCCACCATTTAAGCAGGGGTCAGATTTGCAATCATCAATGTTTTCCTAAAAACGGAACTCGGTGTTTAGTTCCTGCTAAAATTAAAATTAATGCAATAGTTTAAAGGAATACAAGGAATACCTCACACAGGGTGCCAGTAAATCCTTCCCTACAAACACATAGGAACTTGTTGTCCAAATCGATGCAGTTTTCGGTTCCTACAGGATCACATGGATCACTGAGGCATTCGTCTATTGCAGCTTCGCACTGTAAACCCACGTAGCCTGGTCTGCATTTACAAGTGAATCCGTCGACTTGATTTTCGCAACTTGCGCCGTTTTGACAAGGTTCGGAGGCACAGAAGTCGATCGGGTGTTGGCAACGTTTTCCAGTAAATCCTGCTTCGCAAGTACAGACAAAATCGTCCACAAGGTCGGTACATTGACCGCCATTTTCGCAAGGATCAGGAGAGCAATCGTTCATATTGGTTTCACAAGATTCGCCTGTAAGAAATTTATATTGAAGTGAAAATATTATGGAACGGATTATCCCGAAGTAGTACCTGTCCATCCAGGATTACAGACGCATTCGTGATTAAATAGCCTGTCCACACAAATACCATTTTTGCAAGGGTTAGAACGGCATAAATTCACCTTTTCTTGACACCTCTTTCCGGCAAAACCTGGAGGACATGCACAACTAAAGTCAGCTACCAGATCTGTACAGTTTGCTCCCAGAAGGCAGGGCTTTTCAGCGCAATCGTCTGTGTTAATTTCGCAGTGTTGTCCTTCCCACCCTGGTAGGCATTCACACATATAACGTCCTTGTAATAATGCAACGCATGTAGCACCGTTACTGCAAGGATTGCCGTTCGCTGTGCAAGGATCAATCTACAATACCACAAGCAATTGATTAGTAATAAATGTAAGATTTTAAGGGTGTTTAAATACTAACGGTAATGTCGCAATCAATTCCTGTGTATCCAGATCTACAAAGGCAAGTGTAATTGTTATATCCTGGCTCATCCTTACACATGGCACGCTCGGGGCAAGTATCGTTTCTACAATCAGATCGCTCTTCTTGACAGTTGATTCCAGAGTACCCTGGAGCACATTGGCATCTGTATCCTTGTGGAAGGTCTATGCATGAGCCTCCATTGTAACACGGCTGTGATGAACATTCATCAATGTCGATTTCGCAACGACGTCCTGAAAACCCTGCAGGACAGAAGCACTGAATTCCGTGACCAAGTGGTATGCAGAGTCCTCCATGTTGACATGCGTTGTCTGTACATTGAATCGGTAAACATTGCTCCCTTCCTGTGGCACCGGGTCCTTCAGTTTGTGTGTTTGTAGGACATTCGATACATGTATCTGATCCTGGTTTGGGTTGGTAGAAGTTCTTAGGACATAAAGAGCAAGGAGCTAGACCTGTACTGGAATACATTCCAGGTCCGCATTTGGGTCTACATAGCTCTTTAGCAGGAGCAGCGGGTTGGAAGGTGAAGGTGTTTGCGGGACATGCCTGACAATCTTTAAATCCGCTAACCGGTGGCTCGCTACTGTAACTGTTCCTAGGACATTCCAAACACGGTACCAATCCAGTTGGAGAATATGTTCCATAACCACAAACTGGAATACAGTCGTGGATACTCTTAGAACCTTGTTCTCGAGTGTAAGTGCCGGCTGGACATCTCTTGCAAGACCCTTGACGATCGTGGTTTTGATAGTAACCTTTTGGACAATAAGTACATTGTTTCTGTTTTTCGGCTGCGAAGGTTCCGGCAGGACAGTGTACTGAAATAACGAGTTACATATGAAATATGTCAATTTTTAACGCCAAACGAATAACTTACAGCATCTAGGAACATCGGTTGTATCCATGTTTAATACTTCGCCTATGTTACAAGTGAATCCTCTGGAAATGGAAGATCTCAGAGCTCTGAGCGGAGGACATTGGTTCCCTATGGCGGATATGTTTAGTAGCGATTCGATTACGGCACTTGCATATGGCACAGAAAGGTCAAAGATGAGATTTAACGTGGAACCGCAAAGGTCATATAGTTGTGGTTGACGAATGGCCGGTATGATGCCGACAATGAAGTCGATTTTAACGACATTCTCTTCTATGAGAGAAGGTACGGCTTTTATGAAGGACACGTTCATGTTTACATTAACAGCCGAACAGCGCTGCGATAGAAGATTGTTTAAGCTTCCGTAATGCTGAGAGATAAGGTCGGTGTATTGGTTCAAACATGCTGTCGCCACCGCACCATTGGCTCTGTAGTTTATGGTTGCCGTCAAATGGTAATCTGCTTGCTCGGTATCTGAAAATTTTCTGATTAGCCCAGAAAGCCTCGATTAGTTACTATGATTTACATACTTTCGGAAACACAGTCGGGAACAACAGACGTCGGTGCCCATGGCGTTCTGGAGTCACACGTGAAAGTCTTTACAGGTTCGCCATCAGTGAACCTATATCCTGGATTACATGTAGCTATACATTGGAGGCCTTTGTCGCCAGGAAGACAATTGATTGCTCCATTAACTGGAGGCTTAAGTTCCCAGTCCACACACGGGGTCGGTTTAACCATTACCTATAGACCAATGGGAATTATTTTATAATTAAGTGGGAAGAAAAGAATATAGATTGTACCTGGAAGTGACACATGGCTTTGTTTCCATATTTATCACTAGCGAATACAGTAACATTTTCAAAGGAACCGATGGGTATGGTAGCTCTTTCTGGTACGAATGCTATGTAAACTTCGCCTGATGAATCGGAAGCATTGATCCTTCTTCTAGTTTCATTGAAGTTTACTGTGTAACTGTCCTGTCTGTCCACCAACTCTATCACATAACTCTGAGGGCAACTCAGAAGAGGAGGTGTATTATCTAAAAGGATAAGGATAAATTGCATTTGATGTTGCTTTTCACTTAAAATTCAATGTGTGTTACCTGGAACTGTGATATTAATTTCACAAATGGCAACATTTCCATCATAATCAAACGCCACATATTTAACCACTGTGTCGTGGAAGACGTGGGTTGGGGTTTTGAAATGTTGTGGCTTTATTTCAAGTCGAGCTATGCTTCCTGAGTTGTCAACGGCTGTGGGTTCGGTAAAGTTAACAGGAAGTAAGCCACCGTTTGCATCTTTCTGAACCACGACCGGTAACTGTGGACAATTTTGGAAAACAGGAGTTTCATTATCAACGCAAGGCGAGTAGCCGTAATCGTATCCAAGGAGAGGTTCAACATCAGGCTCGTCGCATCCCATAAGTTCAAATTTCAAACAAGCGTTATCCATGTAACTAACAATTCCTAAAAATTGGTTTTAATTAGGAGTCACGAAAACGAGATGGTGATTACACAAAAATGAATTACCTAAAATAACAAAACGGGCTTGCACGTATTTCGGAAGCGAAATCATAGCAAGTTCACCGTAATTTCCAGGATCTCTCATGGTTAAATTGAAATTGGGGAAGTAAACGACATAATTTTCACTTTCGGCCTGTTTATAGAAGAATCGGATTTCTGTCGGTCGTCCAACGATGTCGTTGGTAACAACGCCTTTCACAAGGATCGCCTTTACACGATACACTTTACCTAGATCGACACTAACATAAGTAAAAGCTTCCTCTTTGCCGCACCAACCTGTGACTGAATTTAGACGGACGTTTCTAGCTTCATAGTTTGGTCTCTCGCTTGTTGCATTGATTGCTGAGTCTGGTATTCTTCCAGAAGCAAGGCCAAGAGGCCTAACAACTTTACATTCCGGTTCGCGGATGCATGTGATGGGTCGTGGATTGATAAGAATATATCCGGGTCGATTACATCCAAAATGGACTTCTGAACCCTGCTCATAACTTCTTGCGTTTTGGATTCCGTCGCTGGGTCTGCCAGGATCTTCGCACACGGGACCTTCGCAACGAAGATCTCCAAAGTCCCACACACCGTTGGACTGACATCGGACGACATTGTCGTGTTTACTGCTTTGACCTGCGAGCTTAAAGGTATTCTGGCAACCGAAGAAGAAGGAAGATTGATAGCGGGTATCAACGTATTGACCGTATTCAGCACCGGGGGTTGGCTGTGGTTTGCCGCAGTTTGCTCTTGGACAGGCCGGCTGAGCACCACTTAGCCAATAGTCTGGAAGACCCTGTTAAAAAAGGACAATTAAAAGATTAAAATTTTAAATAAACAACAGTTTTACTAACGGGTTTTGGATCATAAACGCATTGCCTGAAGTTTGATGTTACGGTTTTCCTAAGATTACGTCCAGGAGCGCCACAATTCAACGTTATATTTTCTCTAAATGGTACTAGGACACTGGCCTCATCAGCACGAAGAACACTTAGTCCTTCGTTTTTGGAATCCGGTAGAGATACGCACTGGGCATCTAAAAATAAGAACGTGAACAAAACGAATTTTCTTTAGAGATATTGTTTTATACATTGACATTCGGGGACTGATCCGTTCCAAGCTCCCGTGGAAGTACAAAGAAGTGACGAAGATCCGGCCATAATATATCCAAAATCACACTGGAATTTAACCAAATCTCCAAAATGATATTTTTCCTGTAAATGATAATTCTTTAGTGAATATAGTGGCAATTGGGAATACTTGATACTGGATATACCTTCGTTGCTAAAAGTGCTCCGTTTTCTGGAGGAAGTAAAGTTGGACATTGTATAGGAACGCAAGATTTGTTTACTTGGTAGATGTCTCCGTCTCGTATTCCATTTTCGGTTGATTCAATTAGATATCCAGCAGTACCATTTTTTGTATACAGTTCGTAGCCGACGTTACATCCACATGAGTAATCACCTGCGGTGTTGATACATTTTTGATCGCAACCTCCATTATCCACAGCACATTCGTTTATATCGGCACATTCCAGTCGAGTACAACCCATTATTTCCAATTTAATACATGGTGCGATCACGTAGTCTTGTATTTTAAATTTAACGTATTGGGCTTCAATTGGCATTGGTAGATTGAGAACAGACAATGTGGGTTCCAAAATTCTGAATTCTACGGCCGTTCCATCCGGATTCCGGTAGTCTTTGAACACATCTGTGAGGTCGTTTGTGTATTGGATTCTTACAGCTGACGTGAAAGCCAGCATTCCATCATCTCTGCCTACGCTCATTGTTCTGAATCCTCTGATGACAGTTGGTGCCTTCAAGTCTACCATAACCCAGTTCGCACCTGGTTCCGCTAGGCTTCCACACCAACCTTTACTTCCTAATCGTATCATCTACAATTGAAAACATGATTTTTGTTAATTGGATGTGATGTACTACAGTACAATTTAAATAACATACGTTCTTATCATATCCATCCTCTGTACTAGAAACTGAAATGGAGCTGTCAGGAATGCCACCGTTGATAAGGCCTAAGTCGCCTACTGGTCTACATTCTAAAGTCGGAGAGAATCCTTTTCTGCATTTGCAGGAGAATGAACCAGGTGCGTTGATACACTCAGTAGATACGGCATCGCATTGATTGTTGATACACTCGTTGATATCTGAAAGAAGAAAGTTACTACTTTGTTTTCCTTAAACTAGGGGCATTATGCTAGTAGTAGTTTACCTTCGCACTTAGGAGGTGTACTAAATTCCTGATTTTCAGTGCATCGAATAGTTCCACTTCCTATGAGTTTATATCCTTTATGACATTGAACTCTTGCTTCATCTGTATAAAAGTATTGTCTAGCGGTGTCTGTTATGAATCCGTTCTTAATATCGGGGAATACTGAACATCTGGCTCCTAGAAACAAAACAATTATTTCTATTAAAATAAAATCCATACTAATTGCGGTAAATGACTTACTTGAACATGTGGGAACATCGCCGGACCATGTACCGTTGCTCATACACAATATAACCGGGTGACCACTTCTAACGTAACCTGGATCACATTCGTATCGAACAATTGTACCATAACTTCGTCCAAGTCCATTCAAAATTGTTATGTTTGCATGTGGTACGTCAGGTAATGTGGGACATTGGGAAGCCAGACATGACGGTTTCTTTTCCCATCGTCCATCGGCAAGACAAGAGATCTTTTCAATCGGCTGGCCAGTGGGAAACGCAAATCCCGCATAGCATTGGTACATTGCTTCACCCCTGTACGTTACATTTGTAGATCCAGTTGAAAATCCGTTGTCTATCTGTGGCACTGGACCGCAATAAACCTCTTGACATTTTGGAATGTAAGTGATAGACCAATTACCACCGAGCAAACACTGGGTAGTGATTCTGGAACGGCCTGTGGCAAATTCCTGACCAGTTGGACATGTGAAGGTAATAATGGTGCCGAACGCTGTATCCCTGCTTGATGCAAGAGCTCCTATTCCCGGTTGTAAAGGTGGACAGTCTGAAAGACACAATGGGTGTGTTTACTAGAACGATTTGATATAAACGATTAATTAATTATCTACCTGCTGAAAAAGTAGCCGACCATCCCTTGGCGTTATGTAAAGCGTCAGTGTTAAAACGGATCAACATTTCACCACTGGATGCTGTAAGGGTGATTTTCGGATTAGAATTTTGAGTAAATCCTTTTCCAGGATGGAGTCGTAATCCACTTGTCGTTGCGCCATCGTATACCTAAAGCAATTAGAAAGTTACACCAACAATTCATAATGGCGCTTATGCCGGTGTAATTACCTGTACAAAGTCGGACTTGTCAACATCAAAATCATCAAATTTAAGCGATAGAGGACTTCCAGCGAGATTTCTTATTTTGTAAAGACATTCCTGATTGCTAGGATAATTACTTAGACCAAAGGCTGGAGACATTACCGTTCCATTTCTCGCAGCAATAGTAGCTCTGCATCCTAATCAAACATAATTAATTGATAGGATTGTCATCGGATTGTATTTTAGAAACATCTTTACCTTGAGCATATCTGATCCTGAAGCCTCTGTTAGAATCACCCAGACTAGTTCTCAAGTACAGGTACAATAAATTATTCGTTGATATGATTACTCTTTGGTTGTTTTCCAAACTGCCCGTCAGTCTTGCGATTATTTGACTTTTTGGAGAATCGCCATCTCTTACCAAAATGTAATCTCTTCCTTCGTCGAGATCCAAATCATCAACCTAATCAATTGAAGAGTTAATCATAAGTACACAACCATACCTTATATCGAATTTGGTATAGGTACCTCCAAAGTTATTATTCGTCCAGGTTGCGCTTGAACTATATATAAACATTCGAGGCCTCCAGGATATTGTTCAGGATATCCGGGAGAATACAGAACTTGTCCTTGAGGAGTTGCTCTAAGGGTCCCCCCGCATGTTTGAGGTTCCGTTTTCCAACTTGCGCGGAATCCCTTTCTTTCTACTGAAGCATCGGTGCTGAATTTGATGATCATGAAATTAGACGCCGACACGAAGGACCTGTTTGTGAGATCTTGTTTACCGGAAAGTGTTGCCAAATTAACTGAGGTGTCTTCGGTTCTGCCTCCCACCAAAATCTGGACTGTGTCAAAACTCTTTTCCGTTTCGAATTCTTGGAACTAGAAAGACGCCAATGACTCAAAATGGGAAGATCAAGAAGTTGTTAAGGAACTTCATATAAATCAGTTGTAAATTTTTGAACAGGTGGAAGAAATGGGAAGAAATTATTCAAACATCTGAGTAACGTATCGCAATCGTAACTACAGCAATAATTATTTCAAACATGTTTTCCTACAAGTAACTGATCAAAAGATTCAGGATTTATAATCGTATATTAATGCAGAATCACTGTTTCTACATCCAAGTGGGTCCATTAAGGAGATGTACATATCTCAGCGTTAGCTAATGCCGTGTGTTGCGCTTATGTAATCCTTTATTTGCAATTTTAATCGCCACGCTAGCCTAGCAATTTCCGACGGACGTACCTGTAGAAGAATATTATGCCCCTGCGGGCCCTCCAGAGTCCACTTGCAGTTGGTGAGGGGAGCGTATTTGTGGGGATAATAAGGACTTTCAACAACATCTCCGCTACTGGCCATGTAGTAATTACAGTTAGTGGGGCAGTCTATCTCGTCGGACCAATCGCCGCAGTCGTTCTGTTTGTCACATTTGAAAGCGTCATTTATACAATTCCCGTTGGAACAATGGAATGCGCCTGGTGAATTTCAAAAGAAAGTCTTTTATATCTAAATATTTTTCTAAAATATGCAAATAAAAACGCATTGTCTTTGTTTCGGTTTACCTTTTGGGCAGGCTCTTGTTCTGCACATAAACGGTAAAAGGCTTTCACAAGTTGACAGCTCCCATGATTGAGTTTCTTCTGTTATTGATACGTCCACGCATTCTCCGGCACTAGGATCTGGTTGTTTTAGGGACCAAAAACCTGACATAAAAGATTAGTTGATGTTCCGTCATTTTTATTATTGGAATAAGTATTAAAAAAGACCTTTGAAGACTAGATACTCATTCACGGTGTTAATTTCAAATAAAAAAAACCAAAAGGATAAATCATGTTGTAGATTAAATTTTGAAAAGCGCCGAATGGATTTCGTAATCTGGATAAATACATCAAGATTAGACATAAAAGAGAAGATGGATTACATGTTGTTTATTGTGTGGCTTTCATTTTAGACAAGGATGTTTGTTTTATGAGACGATGATTGCTCGTCGCGATATACCGGAGATGCTAATGGAAGGCATGAGAATAACAGTTCTTGTGAATACCTGAATATTGTGAAACGAGTGTACCAGCCGCTGACTCCAAGGTGTTCGTTCTTAGGTCATCTAAGGAGGCCAAACCGAGCCAGTAATGACTTATGCCTCTCCTGTCCAATGGGACGGTTGATGACGCTATGGACGCCGTCAGGTTGTTTTCGCTATAAGATTCCACTGCCATTAAGTCACTTCCATACCTGAAAAATACAAAAGTGATCAACGTTTAAAGAGTGTATGATGGGTTCCAGTCACGACATTCACGATTCTTTGAGTGAAAACGGATGCATACTTTAGAACAGAGTAAATTTAGTCTAGTGGCTGGTAGGCAGCACATCAATGCTTCATGTTTTTTTATCAATTGTTGGTTATATTAGTACTTTAGAAACTAAACAGAATACTTCTGAAATGTGTAAGTATTAAATTATATGCTCAAAGCGTTTCTCTCATGTTTAGTACACTGTCTAGATCTAGATACAGATATGATGTGATACAGACAGATGGATGCGGATATTTTTTTCAATATGGCGTCGATGTTTAGAATAAAATAGCCACTTAGTTTTAGTTGTAAGTAGTAGCTTCCTTAGTTTCACATATAAATAAATAAATGTATAATGAGGTCCTGTTTCACACGATAGTGGTAATATTGCAATTTTAGCAATTACTGGAAGTGTCAATAAGAAGTGAGAGACAGGAAAGGAGTGCATAGTTTTCCACGTAATTTTCACGTTATTATAACAATAAATAGTTATTTATTCACCCATTTATTTTTAATTGTCGTCATGTAATAGTTACCGCTCTAGATTAACTTGGATGACCAAAATCATATTTCTTTCATGGGCTCCAATAAAAAAAATATTTATCAAGAAAATTTGCCTAACAAAAATGAGAAACAGTCTCTTATGTGTATTCATAATAACCCAATAGATGGCAGCATTGAGTAATGAGTATGTACACGTTCGGTTTCTTGTTGAAATTAGCCGAATTGCAGAACATTACACGATAATTCCAAAAATGTATTACGAACTTGTTTGTGGTGTAATTCCAAATCTTGTGACATTTCTTATTTAATTCAGTGGGCAATGAAATTGCTGGCGACAATGTGAAACAGCTTAAAAACCAAAATAATAAACTGTGACGAAGAATGTGTGTCACATTTCGATGAAGAATTCAAGTGAACACAACGCTGTCCCATATTTCACAGTTTCCTATACACCAGGTAAATATCAGCTTGTAAATCATATTAAATAAGAGTAGGTGCTGCATGGTGCTTTTGTTAAAACTCACGCAAGTGTAATGCGTCTCTAACTTAAGTGCACCCAGTAGGTAATTCCGGTAATGGCGGTTAGGTGTGTAAGCACCATACATGACCAACTTTAATGGGTTTAATCTGATAATTTTATTTATCGCCGCGCTGCTATAAATTCGACGCAAAAGTGTTTTATGGTTGAGCGAGCGAAAATGCTTGAATAAAGCGGATAATAATTTCAACTGAAACGTTACCTAACTTGAGGTATGAGAAAGTTATGCAAATATGAGACAAGAATGTGAATTAAACTGACATTCGGAATGGGTAGCCATGTGTTAATTTATCTTAGAGAATAGATATTTAATACTTTACAAGCTATTATTAGTGGCTGATTTTAGATATCTAGGAAGTTAGGACGGAAGGAGTAGTAGGGATATAACAGTTGTAAATTTTTGAACAGGTGGAAGAAATGGGAAGGAATTATTCAAACATCTGAGTAACGTATCGCAATCGTAACTACAGCAATAATTATTTCAAACATATTTTCCTACAAGTTACTGATCAAAAGATTCAGGATTTATAATCGTATATTAATGCAGAATCACTGTTTCTACATCCAAGTGGATCCATTAAGGAGATGTACATATCTCAGCGTTAGCTAATGCCGTGTGTTGCGCTTATGTAATCCTTTATTTGCAATTTTAATCGCCACGCTAGCCTAGCAATTTCCGACGGACGTACCTGTAGAAGAATATTATGCCCCTGCGGGCCCTCCAGAGTCCACTTGCAGTTGGTGAGGGGAGCGTATTTGTGGGGATAATAAGGACTTTCAACAACATCTCCGCTACTGGCCATGTAGTAATTACAGTTAGTGGGGCAGTCTATCTCGTCGGACCAATCGCCGCAGNAAATGTTAATTAAGTATAATAATGATCATGCTCCATGTAGTATGTTCAATTGCGTACATTGAGAATAAGTTTCTAGTTGGCATATTTACCGATCCACCAGTTCCTCAAAATTAATTCTCTTCAATCATTTAATGGTCTAAAATACCATTGAGATATTATGGTACCTCCCTGGTTAGTATAATATTATTACAACAAGAAAGTTAAAAACCTACTTAGATTGACCATGTTTCAATGAAAGATAACTGGAGAGTAACGTACTGCTAGGTATTCTTCAAGAATAAGGAATTACAATTGGATGGATGTGCTTCAAGCCTTTTGTAAATTTTACTCTTATTGGCCTTTTTCAAATTAACAAATATTAAGTAACGGATGTGATAGTTCATAAGAATAAACAAATTGCATGTAATTCCGTCTTTGGTGTTCCATATCGAATTCCAAAGGCGTTGCAAGCCACTTACTACTCCACAGCATCATCGTCATGGCTCATAAGACATCTAGAGCGCGATCATTATTGCTAGTTATTACTGCAAACCATCATTATAATCATCGGGTACTCTAGTAACGAGAAATTTTGTACATTAAGTACTAATTGGGTTTCCTTTATTGGCTAAAGAAACAACTAACAACAACTGACCGACCGAATGAATTCCAATTTAATAGTCGTGTAGCAAAACCCAATTCTTGTCCCAAATAGAGGAATTAGTAGTTAGGTTCAAACCTACGAAGGGCTTTTGTAGTAACATTTATTCAGGTGAGTTCTAGTTACCGAATATATGAACAATTAAATTAAATTACAGGTTTATAAGAGAGGGGCGATTTTTAAAGTCTGTACTGTTGGTTTTGATGAAATTGCTTTCCATCGATGTTGATTATTGTGACCCACTTTTCATCTTTTTTGTCGGTCTTTGACCTCCTCGACATTAAAAAGTTGCTACGACAGGAGCTTCAAGAGTGTCTCATTTTATTGACAGATTGGTTTCACTTTAGCACCAAATTATCAATATGATATCGAAGGAAATGTTTTGACTGAAGGTTGTACAAGTACATCAGCATTTATTCGAAGTTGTGATGATGATGATGCCCTTTTTGCAAGTTTTTTTTTTTTAAGACAGAGTTATTGAAGCGTTAAATAAGTTTACCTCAAAATAAACCACAAAGCATCGATTTACTAATTTGTTGTTTTTTTATTTTTAATTTTAACCATGAAAATTAAATTGACTATTATTAATAAAATGTTGCTTTCATTATTATTTGTGGCGGTTAACGTTATAGGGAACTTAAGTGCTATATTGTAAACTAGTACAGTACTTTTAGAAACTCGTGCGTAGGTTTAGTAAGCATTGTAAACATTTACGAGGGTGGATTGATAAGTTTCCGGCCTAACCAAGAGATGACGCCACTAGGCCTACCTTGAGGTGACATTCTATAGTACCATCCTTGGATAGCTTGTAGCTATAGTTTCAGCCCGATCTCCTTGCTAGTGTAGGTTTGACAGCACGCTGAACAAGACGCCTCTGTGGTTTTCGTAAAAATGGAAAAGCAGGAAAATCGTGCTGTCATCAAATACTTTTATTTGAAGGGGTTAACGCCGAAGGAAATTAAAAAAGAGATGGACTCAACACTGGGGACATCCTCCCCGTCATATTCAACCGTTAAGCAGTGGGTTTCCGAGTTTAAAAAGGGTCGTGTGAGCACCTCTGATGGGCCTCGCTCAGGACGCCCCGTTGAGGTCACAACTCCAGATATGATCGAAAAAATTCATCAAATAGTGCTGGGAGACCGCAGATTGAAAGTGCGTGAGATAGCTGAGACCTGTAAGATGTCATATGAACGTGTGCAACATATTTTGCACCAACATTTGCATATGGAAAAGCTCTGTGCAAGATGGGTGCCGCGTTTGCTAACAGTCGACCAAAAATTGATTCGAAAAAACATTTCTACCGCAAATTTGTCATTGTATAAGCGTAATCCAAGCGAATTTTTGCGTCGATTCGTAACCGTTGACGAAACGTGGGTCCACCACTACACTCCTGAAACCAAAGAACAGTCTAAACAGTGGATTGGACCAGGGGAACCAACTCCAAAGAAGGCAAAAACAATTTTTTCGGCGAACAAGGTTATGGCTACTGTTTTTTGGGATGCAAGAGGTATTATATACATTGATTACCTTGCAAAGGGTAATACTATCACTGGTCAATACTACGCAGACTTATTGCAACGTTTGAGCCACGAGGTGAAAATTAAACGACCTCATCTGGCGAAGAAAAAAATCTTGTTTCATCACGATAACGCACCAGCGCACACGTCAATCGTTGCGACGGCTAAAATCAACGATCTAAAGTTTGAATTGATGCCGCACCCTCCTTACTCTCCAGACCTAGCCCCGAGTGACTATTTTCTGTTCCCTAATCTCAAAAAATGGCTTGGCGGTAAGAGATTTGCGGACAATGAAGAAGTAATCGAAGCTGTAAATGGTTATTTTGAGGAGCTTGACGAATCAGTCTATAGAGATGGCATTAATAGACTGGAACACCGCTATGAGAAATGTATCAGCCTTGGAGGAGATTATGTTGAGAAATAAAAAAAAAAAATTTTTAAAAACCTTGTTTTTCTTGGTCAGGCCGGAAACTTATCAATCCACCCTCGTAGTAACATTAACACACTAGCAATATTGAACTTCTATATGCAAATATCCACTTTCTAAAGCAAGCCCGAGGGCGTAAAGAAATGATAATCTTTTATTTACCATCATTAATAGATTTTTTGGTATGCTGACGTACATTTGTACGAAATCACATTGTACTGTTTCTAAATTTATACTAGGCATTAGTAGAAGTGCGATACCAATAGGGTCGATTAGTTGAGTCGAACAAGGATGTACTTACAAAGCTGCGTGAACGAAAAGCTTAGTTCACACTTGTTCTGTGTAAAGTTGGGGCAAACAAAAATCTAAAATTAAACCTAAATCGTGCAGAAATTAAATAAGTAAATTACGTAGGATACTTTAATTTGAATATGTAAGAATTATCTTAAAAGTTGATCACAATAATTATAACAATGTTACTACATGGAAAATTATCGTACAATAGTTAAGTATAAATCTCTTAGGTTTTCTATTTCTGTCTGACAGTATTAGCTGAGAGACTCTGATGTTATTTACTTTATTGTTTAAAAAAGTAGGCTCTAGATAGTCATATACCATCTGTGTTAAGGTAATTACGTTAGAGATTTTTTCAAGTTACAAGTAATTTTGAATTGAGGTACATTGAATTTTGTAGTTTTAATTAGTGAATTAATACGCAATACAGATAACCTCAAATTAATGAGGAAAAATTATCGCTGCTCTCACTTCCTTGCTGGGATTCGAACCCCTGCTCTTGGTTTTACGCACCATTACTCTACCACTAAGGTATAAATAGGTAACAACAACAACACCGACGATACCAGGAGCTCGGGTTCGATTCCCGGCAAGGAAGTGCTACTGCACCAAAATTTTTTCCACATTAATTTGAGTTATCTGTAGTGAGTAAAATTATTTCAAAAATTAATACACTTAATTCTGAATTGTTTGTCATCAGTTTCCTTCTGCTACCTGTTTAACTATGATAAGTTCAAATTACTTGGACGTTTAGCATGTGACTCTTATTAAGATCTTGTACATTCTTTTGAAACTGTTTTTTCAGCTTAGTTAATATCACAATGCGCTTTGTGGTAATGGTAGCTATCATTATTTTTTTCTTGTAAAGTGCAAATAAACAACAAAACAACTAGAGCTTCAAGAGCAGGTTGTGCGCCAGTTAAGCCGTAAAAGTAACTGAAGTTATTTCTGAAATGATAGATATAATAACAGGACTCTGTACATATGCATATAACAGTTTGAGTCGATTTTAAACTGCCTAGTTTAATTGCAGTTATATTTTATTACATGTATCTTAGCTCGTGTCAATGTTGCATTGAAGATTATGTATGGATTTAGTCGAGACTAATTAGGAATCAAAAAGTTAGGATAATTAGTAATCGTGTATAATTCAGTCCCTGTGTGTGCATTTTTTGAAATCAAAAACAAATTAACACAGACTATAAATATGTTATGGGGACCATAAAAAGGTAACGGAATCTAAGTGTGAGTTAATTTATTTGTAACTAATAGGTAACAATTTAAAGTTGTAGACACATGTAAAATTAGTTTTTAATACCTGACTTGTAAAAGACAATAATTTTTCTGCTGTTGCTATTATTATTGTTATTCAATAGAAACGTATATTAATTGTAAGAAACAAATTGCTTAGCGAATTTTGTTTGAGGTCATTGGTGAAAATTCAAAGTACTTAGTAGTTTTAGTCACAAAAAGACTTTGTTGTTTTTCGTGAATGTAATATGTTATGCACTAATAGGTTCGTGTATTATGGGCGGTTAACTATCTACAGTTAGAAAAATTTTAAATAGCTTATTACATTCATTTAATTACGTCCATTATTATTTAAATTGTGTTAAAAAGTGTATTTAATAATGGAACTATAATACTATTTTGGATTCCTTTAAAATTTTATTGGTAAACACATATATAATGTGTGATAACTGAATGTGATATTACCAAACTTGTAACTTGTTGTTAGAGTTCATACTTTGAACTTCTATATTATATTAGGTTTAAAAGAATCTTGAAAATAACTTAGGGAGCATTTAGATTAAAATAATAATAATCTAGAGCACGAACGAAAAGCTTAGTTTACACTGGTTCCGTGTAAAGTTGGGATAAACGAAAATCGAATATTAAATTCAAATTTCTGAAAGAGTGTAGCGAAATAGGGTAACCTTGATTTGTTTTTGTTTAAAAAGGAATTATTGTAAAGACAGATAACAATTACGTTAGAGTTTATGGTTTGAATATTGTTTATTTTAAAAATTAAACACGGTGGAGACATTCTATATGGAATATCATCGGATTGGACATCTATTAGGCAGTTGAAATAATAAGAGCAGTCAACTTCGGAGACCTTGAAGGTTCAAAAGCTTCTGGGAATGCCTTTTTCATTGTTGTTCCGCTTGTTGAATTTTAATTCCAATTTTACGTTTATCCAGTTTTACAATCTTCTACTACTTCTTCAGTTATTTAAAAATAGGCTACGTTTAGTTCAAAATTAAGATAATATATTACTTGGCAGTGCTCAATTAAAGAAAGTTGACGTTTAACCGTATTGTCTCTTTTATTCAAGGATATTTAGGAGTGCTTTATAGCAAAGCATTTATAATTTCCCTTTCTTTTATACAATTTTCTTGTTGGAGACAATTGCCAAACTTTATAGTTTAGATTTCTGAACAGTTATACCGTTTTTGGTCGTTTTCTTCAGAAATATGCTGTTCATGTGTAATACAAGGACAAAAGCTTTTGTATGTTTATTGAAAGTTTTTGTATATAATTGAAACGTTCGTCCACACGACATGCTTTGCTTTCTAATGGAAATGTTGTTCCTGGACGTAGGTGGTTACTTTACAGTACATTACTGTCCATTTAGTTTATTGTTATCATCACAATTTCCTCAAAGATAAACCGTTCGAATGAGATTCATTGCGGTTGTAGTGTGTGTCTGTTTAAGTAGATTAGTGGTAACTAACAGAAAAATGCTCTTAAGACTAATTTACCTTTTACAAAGTTCCGCGGCTTTCTCCCACGAATGTCTAATGTTGAAAAATTTGTAACAGTATAGACCACGAAGCTCCCAACCTAAAAAATAAGAAAGAAAGTCTGGATTACTAACTCGTACATATATTAATATTATACGTCCGGCTCGAAGGACCAAAAGCTTTTCTCTTCTATTTTAATTCTAATGACTTCTTAAGTATGCTTTTTGTGCATGTGCAATTGTAAAAGTGTAACTTCTTATTGCTCTGATTCATGTTGCACTTCTACATGCTAACCGACTGTGAATAATATTTTAGAGCCGTGTTAATTTCATTTCGCTTTATATCATTTTCATCGCGGATTCGTTAGAAATTGTATCCCATTTATTGGTGCATTTCCTACTTTTTTCAACATGTAACAGAATCGTAATGAGCTAATTTGCAATAGTTTCATGCAACGTTTTCATTAAATCGTAAAACCCGCATACTGTATAATAAATTAGCAGTTTAGTAGCACTCGTTTAAAAACTTTCTATCAAAATAGAATACTACGATTAATTGGGAAAATTATAATTGATAATAAATATAAAGTTTCATCATTCATGAAGGTTAAAAAATAGAAAGATATTTGAAAAAATATCGGACGGATTGCTTTTTCAGGAATGAACCTCGAAATAAATCACTAAAAATTAATTGCAGCGATGAAGAATGACTACAAAATAGAAAACAAGAGTTGTTTATCAAAGTTTGGTGCCTATTGTACCTAAATAAAAAATTGAAACACAAGCAATTGTTTGTAAAAGTGTATTTATATATGTCCTAGATGTTCTTAAACAGGATCTTTAATAGGATGTGTTAGAGCAGCATTTGCCTTTGCCAGTTCGTGTAAAAGATGGCAGTGTTCTAATTGTTTCGGTTAATTATACCACGCAGTGAGTAGGTATACGTTGCTGCCGACTGTGGCGACTGGTCATTACTAATAATTGACATTCTAAGAAAGCGCAACTAGAAATTTCCTATGTAATTTGTAGTGCCTGCGTTTACCTTTAAAGAATTCTAAAAGCGAGAAAGTTAACACCGCTCTGACCAAGGACGTTGCCTTCATTAAAAATCGATAACTAAAAGCCAATTTTTTTAACTACTTTTCAAAGAATTGTCACACTACAAATCACACTTCATTAGAGACAAAATACACCGCGACGTTCGGGAACTATATTCCCAGAGCATTCAGTTTAATCTCCATAATTTTAAACCCCATTAAGCTGCAGATTTGCTAGCCCTGTAAAAAATATGATTTTCTCACTTATTCCAGGAAAAAGTGATTACTTATTCACTCATCAAAACGTATCATTAGCGTACTTTCCAGATAATTGAAGAAACTATAATTCTTTCTTATCAAATAAGTTTTGCCATTTAAACGAGCATTATTTTTGTTTGTCATCATTATAAGGCCGTCAGTCCTAAGACTAGTTGGACACGCACCTCCACTCCTTACCCTGAACTAATCTTCGCATTTCCCTAAAACTAGAACATCCCACATCTACTATTTGCTATTTGCGAACAGTAATCGAATCTAGGTCTACTTCTACTCCTCTTAGCTCTTGTTTCTGTCTCTAATATGTCTCTCTGACTAGACCTTCATATCTGAGAAGGTGTCTTATCAACCTATCTCGCCTATTTTTATTGATCATAAAATCCTGTATTCTCCTATTCTTTCCATTACCTCTTCATTTCTGACCTTCTGTATCCACAGTATCCTTATCATTCGCTGGTAACACCACATTTTGAATGCTTCTAACCTTTTCCGCCGCACCCACCCAAACGCACCTTTAACAATATTTTTCGAATTTTTAAAGAAGTCATAGAAGTGACTTCTTTGTATTGAAGAAGACTCGACCCTGCGCTATCCTCTTCTTTATATCCCTACAACTTCTTCCGACCTGACTTATCTGACTTCCTAGATACCCAAAATCAGCCACTTCTTCTAATCTTTCGTCTCCTATCTTTATATAATGTCTTTCCCTACTTATTCTTCCCTTGAATACCACTATTTTTGTTTTGATTTTATTTATTTTCATACAATACTGTTTTGTCAATATCGCTTTCACTTTATTTAAAGCTATCTCTAACTCCTCCATGCTCCATCCTCCTAATACTGCTATATCATCTGCAAATCTAAACATAATAATCTTGCCCGTCTATAATCTATCCCTACAGTTGTACTGTCTTAAATGATGTTGATCGCGTCTTCGATGTATAGATTAAAAAATAACGGTGACAGTGTGCATCTTTGTCTGACTCCCTTCCTAATATTGAAAAAAAAAATGCGAAGATCAGCTGAGGATGGGAAGACAGCGGAAGTGCATTCCACCTAGTGTTAGGATTGACTACCCTGTGCGCATGATGATGATAACTTCGATGACAACATTCTAAATGTCGAAAGTATGTCCAAATTATCACATTTTGTAGGAATTATCATTACAAACACCTACAGATACCTACGCAGAATCATAGAACAATTATACAGTGATTGAAAAGACGCCTTAATAGAAATAGATAAACTCTACGCTGAGATGTTCGCATATGATTATTGTTGATGGCATGACTGTGTAGAATTTTGACGAAACAACACCCATGCTTTCAATTTCTACATAATCAAGATACGCACGTATGTGTACAAGTATCAATAAATAAGTCATAGAAAAATATCCGAAGGAATTCGCGGTATGGGCGGCGTGTTTCTTAGTATAATCGCGTTCTTTGTCTGTTTTTTAAGGACGTATGTTGATAGATACGAAAAGGCCTTTCTCCAACCTACGTTTAAATATACCTATAAACACTTTGTAACGTAACTTATGCAGTTTTTATAATAGGAAACATGTTTCCTTCTGTACAGAACTAAAGAATTGAATTACAACAAGCCAAGGTCTACGGACATAGCTACATAGATGTATAAAATTTGTTCAGTAGAGGTATAGACTATGTTACGTAAAAAGTTTTATTGCAAAGACATCATCAAATGCACAAGACTTACTCATCTCGGTTAGATATCTCTGGAACTCATGGGTCAGACCATTTGTTTATCCCAGTCGCCCACACTGATTTGAAAATATTTACATAAAAATCGCGAAACATTTCCTTAAACTTGTAATACGTAGGATAATTAAAACGGTTTTTACGGCTTTCAAAGATTGATTAATTACTCAACAAATTTTAACATACTGATATTAAGTATCCATTTGTTTGGGTTCTTATCTCCTGGAGTTTTTTGACGATGGTATGGTAATTAATTAGGTACTGTTAAGAAATTATAAAAAGAACTAGAAGTAGATTACATAGGATGAGGAGGAGACAGGACGAGAATTTTAAGGATCGCCAAATAATCCTTCTTTAATCTTACCATTTCGGTAAAGGACTTATTAATAAAATAGTTAATATATTGTTTCGATTGAACTTCCCTTAAAAATGTGCAAATAATTGAATTTGGAGAAAGATTTGAAAATGATTTAGACAGAAATGCACACATATGTAATAAAGTAAGTTATGAGATTGATGCTTGAGAGTAAAAGAAACGGAAAGTGATGGAGCTATTAGAGAAAAGATGTTATAGCTTGACTAAGTCACACCAGGATGTTTTAAATGCAACAGAAATTGTAGAGACTTGAATCAGAATCCAAGATTCAAGATAAAATAACAAAAGAAAATACATCGCTGAAAGAACTTAGAAAAGAATGCAATGAGAAGCAACGAGAGTGAGAAAAGTAATGAACAAGTTTTATGAAAAGGGAAGTACAGGAAGATGGAGATACACAGCTCTATCAATTGTGATGCTTTTGGTCAGATCTAGTTATCGCTATAGGTTATAGAGGGTTCCATCTTCTGTCATTTGTACGTATCATTTTTTGAAGTCATATGCTTGGTTTGTCGTAATTTCATTTTCAATCAAAATTCTATTTAAGACTTTGGTTGATCAATTTACCTCCATGGCAGATAGCGATTTTACACGGTGCCCGCTGTATGCAATAGATTTTTCTTTTGGAATTAATACGCCATTTACAATTTTACGAAATAGCACTTCTTGCATGCAAGAAAGCTCTTTGTTTTGTTAGACTTGGACATGTACGTATCGGACAAGTATTTACGCGGTGCTATTGAACTATCCACACACATGTTGCAAACCATTTCAAGAAAACAATGCAAGAAGTAACGGCTTTAAAGCACACCGTCCCCGAAACAGAAACAGCATTTTAATTGGACCGCTGTAACGGTAACATTGAAATAAACAACTGCCTATAAACGCGTTTGTACGAAAATAATAAAAAAATCGGATTTCTAAATTTATATCCGTTTTAAAATGATGAAAACAGGAAGCACAAGACGTCGGTATAAACTTAAACTAGTTTTTGTCTTTATCCTGACTTCGATTCTGACATTGTCATTCTTGTAACTTTTCCTTTTAAAAATTGAATCGATGAAGCTTTCAAGTAATGTAACTCCATATTTAAAATAATAAAATAAAAACACTTGGAGTTTAGAAATAATTTATTTTAACCGCTATAATTATTTGTAAACTGCAAGTGTTTTTATTTTATTATTTTCCTTTTAATTTATTTGCTGGATATTATTTTTACTGATTCTTGTACATTTCCACATGATTTTTCTGCATGGAATAAACTCGAAGAATTGAAAGAGAGGTCCGGCGTGAAATGGAAATCATTGACTCATTCGAACACGAATCAAAGCGGTAAAGAATTAATTAATAAACAAATAATGCTTACGCAAATAACGGGTTTTGACAGTTACCTGTACTATTATAGGATAATATCTATAAATCTATTTGTAATCCTCGAAAGGATGACCGCAAAAATCAGCACCATTATTATTTTGACGATCGCGAATATTTATTTAAATGACCGGCTAATTTGGTCAGTGCTATTTTGGGAGGAATGTTAATCAGGCGGATTCTAGGAGGCTCAAATAAATTAATCTGAATGACCTTGATAATATAATAGTAAGTTTTGATAATAATTATAGAGAAAGACACGACACACATATTTATCATAGGGTGTCTATGTGTTTTTAAATTTTCTACCGATAATTATGATAATAGATATATGAGAATTGTTTACTTACCATTAGGACAATTGAATAGACTAGCATGGGTATCCTGCAAAAGAATAAGGAAAAAAATGTAGAAAGTTGTACGTCACATTTATTTGTAATTAAATAATTTTTGTAAGTAGTAATTGCTTATGTTCTTTAATAAATGTAGTAAAAGAAGTTACCTGCGTTTGTGAAAGGTGAATATTTCCTATTAGGGCCACCACTAGGGTTGCCCTTAGTGCTATCACCATACCCTGTAACAAAAAAGACAATAATTGATAAAGCACCTTTGCAATTATCCTTGGCTTTGAAATTTGTGTGTAGAAAATTCTTTATTTGGTGATTTGTACGGTAGATAATCATTTTTGAAGGATCTTTTATTCGTACAATGTTTAAATTACTTTTTGGTATAAATAGGATAAAATCAAACCCTTATGGATTAATACATTGCTTTTCTAGTTTACTAGGAGACCAAGAATAAAGATATTAAGTAGTGTTGAGCAAAATTGGTCTTGACCTTGCATTTTCAAAGACTGTCTTTATACTAGCAAGACAAAGATCAAGACCAAGAGCGAACGAACAAGACAAAGGCTAAAAGCAAAGGGGGACATGTGCCCCGGGCGGCACAAACATGGGGACAGCAGACGCTTTCTTCAGTACTTGATAGGATTAGGTCCACCGCATAGTAATGTTAGATATTTCAATCTCTTGGTGTTTGTACCAGTTTTAATAACTTGTACCATTACCGTCTTGGTTAACAAAAATACCAAGATTTTTGTATTGATAAAAATCTGGGAAAAACGACTGTTTTGTATCTAACTGTAAAAACGGCAAATTTTTACAGTCAATATACCAAAATCTGAAAGGCGAATGGTCAGACCCTAACAGGGCATTTTTGTAATGGATCCAAAAACTAGATTTCAGCAATACTAGAAGTATTTGAGCAAGACTATGACCAATACCAAGACTGGGATAGCCTTGGTTTTGGCCTTTGTCTTGTCTTAATCATTTCTAACATCAGGTCCGAAACACCCAAAGTTTTATCATTTATTTATACAATAAGCACAATTTTTATCTCATTTTAAAAATTAGTAATCCTAATGCCTACCCCAGATAAAAATGTTCAGTCTTTCAGAGTCTCTGAAAGCAAGACCCGAGTCTACGTCTCTCTGGTGTCGCTGAGAGACTCGAGAGACTGTTAAAAAAACTGTTTAGCGCTCATAGAGAGATCCTCATTTCGTATTCACTCTCTGAACGAGAGACTCGAATCTCTCAATAAGTGGTGTCTCGATAGACATGGTTAAAATTTTCAACATATTTCAGAGATCCCAGTCTTTCTACGAGAGACTCGAGTCTGTCATACAGACACTGTGAGAGATCCATAAAAACACCTAGGCAATAACTGAGAGACTGTGAAAGACTGTAAGAGATGCTCTCAGAGATGCTGAAAGACTAAGAGAGACTGGAGAGAGACTGAAAATTTTTGTCAAGGGATATAACTAGTGAAGATTCATTTATACATATAGTAGGAGCTAAAGTGCTGAATAGAATCATTAATGTTTAGGTTTGTAGTAGGAAGTTCTTAGAAATGGTGAAGATGCTTTTATTGCAATCCGGCATAATAATTTTCCATCGGCCTTTGAAAAATGAAAGGCTAAGGCAAACATTGTGTGCGAGAAATCGGCACATAGCATTACTCAATGACCCACTTTTCTGCATCGAATCCATCAGTCATGATTTTGGACCCGTTCACGATCGCTCTCGTCCATTTTCATCTCATGAAGGATCGAGTCGCCGCAGAATCTTTAAGAGAAACTGATGGATTTAAAACCGTCGGACGCCGTTAGCCGTTTTCGACGCTTGCATAAAAACTGCCGACTGTGACCAGACAGATTACAGCTTATTAATGGAAGAACACTTTCCATATTAGCTAATACTGACGATGCGAAAAATTCAGTTTTCTAACTGCGTATATTTCGTCTTTCCTTCATTTCCAAACTGGCGCTGCACGATTTGGAAGCTTATCATTATTAAGAAAGTGAAAATTTCGAATGGATCTTACGATGTTACATGCCAATAGATTGGAAGAAAATTGACACAATCAATAGGCGTAAAGAGAGATGTCATTTGTTGTTATTATTAAGTTGACTCTATCCAAAAATTAAGCTTGAAAACACGGAGAAATCGTGGAGGAATTTGTAAGATTTTTCGCTGTAGATGAGTTTTCTGTAGATCTTCGACATGTTACCTCTATTAAGCCAATTCAGTTGGGATGTATATTCTTCCTATTCCCCTTGGGATGAGTCCATCAAGGTCTTTTATTTTAAAATATGTCCATCCTTATAGTGTTAAGGTGCTCTTTTCTGTTGGTTACTGCGATGCTTCCATTCTATACCTTTGGTTAGTGGTCAATCTCTCACATCCCCATCATCTATTTCTGTTTCCTATATGAAGAAACATTTACGACTTGCTATGAATGCGAGTGGCAGTTTTACTGACATTATTTTATTTTTTTTTTTTTGGTAGAATCCACTTATCGTAGTTACATCTGTATGAAAATAAGTACGAGTTTTCTCATAAATTGAAAGATTTTCTTTGCCTAGAGGACGCATTGCTGGCCGAAAAGGAAGTTGACGATACCACGGGGTAACATTGACCTTAAACAAGAACCCATCCATTAAATTGAAATATTCTTTTAGTTGTTTCTTCGCTCATGGTGACTTAAAAAGTAACACACATTAATTCATTTTAAAGTGGGTTCTTGACAGTGACATTCAAATGGTGAAAATAAAATTGTATGAAGATAAATAAAGAAGGAAACCCTAGGGTCACACGCCAGACCAACCAGTAACTAACAATTATTTTTTTTTTTTATAAATGAAGGTGATGACATATATATGTAGTATGTGTAAATTCTTTGGATTAGTTTTTAATTAACAATGTTAATATCAAAGAAATTTATGAGTTAATAGTTACATTGTCAAATTGTAAGGCAAATAAAATAATTTGAAGTGGTCTGTATTCTGTCGAAACTGCCAGATGCGGATCACGATTTCAATCTTTTTGGATCTCATCATCTCGTCGCGTCGCATCTATATATTTAAATGGACCTTGTTGGAGCATACGTAACCCTAAAATGTAGCATCGTACTACAGATGGCGTTTACCGCGGCATTTGTGGTATTTTCTAAAACGCGCTGTTAAGACAGCAGGTAAAAGTTGGTCTGTGTTCTGTCGGAGCTCTCTGCGACGCGCTGATGAGATCCAAAAAGATCGAAATCGCCATCCTCGTCTGACAGTTTCGACAGAATACAGACCACTTCGACTTATTTTTATTCGATTATGATAACGTGCCTATAACGTTGAGGTTAGCTACGCCGGGATTCGTTTCGGCAAGTAGATATCCATATATTTAAATGGACCTTGTTGGAGTATAGGTAATCCTAAAAGGTAGCATCGTACTACAGATGGCGTTTACCGCGCCATTTGTAGTATTTTCTGTAAGGCAAATGTTCCATTTACAACTTCTTAGTGCTTCTTTGAACGCAAGTCTCAAAATATTGATCCATGGAAGATAAAGTCCAAGATCATGCACGAAAAGTTCTGTTTTGATCTTGCTTAAGTGTTATACAGTTCCATATCCTCTATGAAAAGTCAAATAGGGTCATACCCATATCGCACTTGCCACCTATAAACGTCATTATGATACCATTATATGTAGGTGATTATAAAAAAGAAATTACATGACAAGTGACGCTATTTAAAGTGTAATATTTTGACCTGTTTTTCCGTGCTTATATTAAATACGAGGCACGCATAAAATATAACACGCTGCATTTATGAATATTATGGAAGCTAGTACGATAACGTGTGCATACCACCAACTACATAATCCATGCCCCAGATAGACCACGGTAACGGTACCTTTATAATTTTTTGAACTCCAACTATCCGTTAGTATTCATTGCATAGAAATTGACCATTAGAACTCCAGTGGTCATAAGACTACCAATGGCGATGGTTTTAAGCAACCAGCAAACGGTTTACGTACCATATTTATTCACTTATTTCATGACCATCCGGTTAAATTAATTTCATCGAAATAATTCGGTCACAATATTCCGAACGCTTCAAATGTTTTAAAACTTACAGCTACTTTTGAATACTTTAGTTAATTACTCCAATGGTACACCTAAATATTTTATTATCCTTAAATTTACTTTTATATAATAATTTTAAGCCCTTATCGAAACTATCTCTGACGTGCTGATGATATCTAATCGCAAATTACGTCTGATGGTAGTTCCAGTAAATTATTTACCAAGAACTTAATGTTCTTCATTACGTCTTGGTTAATGCAAAGCATGTAAGCTCATATTAAGATGTACTACTTCGTTTTAAATCTTTTTTTAATCAAATTTTCGGAAAAAAACACAGTTGTAGTCAGCTGGTGATTACCAGAATCAGTGTAGATTTGTTTGGGTAAATGTGCAGCATGAAATTTTTAGACTTTTTGACTTGTTTAGTAAGTTTATTTACAACCACCAGCAAAAAGGTAATGCGCCTTGACAATATCTCAAATGTGGTGTGGAAAATTGTCTTAATAATATTATAATTATCCATATGATGCTTTTTTACTGACTTATGTTTACGTAAACATTTTTTATCCTTTTTGTGTTTGTACATTTAGATAGTGTTGCCTGTAATGTATTTATTTAATCCACAAGTTATGTGTAATACTAAATTGCTTCTGTTTATCTTAAATGTTCGATAATCCCCAAGTTTACATTCTCTATCCATGTAGCTCCACAGTTTTTATCGCATTACGTTATTCGGTAGACACCTAATATGTTGCCAATTCAGACACAGGGCCGGCTTCAGATTGTAAGTTATTGTAATTTAGTTTACATCTTTCAAAGTTGGCACTTATTCTTGTTACACCCTGTATAATGCCAGTAGAAGTCATTTGTTGGAAATGTTTTTGTTCTTACACCTACAACGGTGATTGTTGATGAGATCCTATAAAGAAACAACAAGTGACAACAACAATGCGCCTTAGAAAGTGAAAACGGGCGTAACTGCGGAGTTTTACGGTTGTGTAAATCCTATGATCGTTATACAAAAGAAGTATCTGAGAAGTTTATGCAACGACTTGAGTCGCCTAATTAAATTAAACGAAATAGGCACAGTCAAGTAGAGCTATTAAATCATGTGTGCCTATTGTCCTTTGAAAGCGCCTCTTATGAGAATTGTTT